GTCTTTAACCGTCTACATGTCTGTCTATTTTCATTCTTTTATTTTTAACCTTTTTTGTCAATTGTTTAGTTTTTTTTTTTTAATACTAGATCCAGCTAGGTTTTTTAAAAAAGTCCAAATTTCTGTTTTTGAGAGGGGAATTCAGTCTTTTATTGTATGAATAGTTGTATTAGATGTTATTCCTTTCATTCTATTTTATGTTTATTATTTATGCTACTTTATTATTTCCTCTTTCTCTATTTCATTACTTTGCTGCCTAATCATATTCCTTATCCCTCCTGTTATTTTAGAAGCTCTCCTATACTTTTTGGTCCTACATTGTTACCTTCCCATTGCTGACATCATAATCAAATGTACATTTCTTTATTAACATACTGCAGTTAAATATGACTGAGGCTTTGGAGGTACTTGTATTTCTCCAATCTACCTCCATTTTGCTAAACTAGATTGACATTTCTAGTTTAGGGTTTTAATAAGATTTCTCATCAGTTCATTTCTTCTGTTTTGAGCATACTTACTTAGAACAAATAATACAAGTGTTTGGATATTTTTGCAATTTTCTCAGAAGAAAACTAAGGGAAGAAAATGAGTTATCTTTTAGCAAGGTACTATTTGCACTTTGTCCCCAAATGACTGCCTGCCCTGACCATATTCACCATCTCAGATGAGCAGGATGTATGCTGGTGTTTAGGAATAATTTCCTTTCTTGAGACACCCTTAGCCCATACACTCGCTCCAGTCTAATGGCACTTTTGAAACCCACAGTGCTTCCCCTGCCCTGCCTTTGCTCATCTGCCTGGAATGTTCCATTTCTTTCATCTCCATCTCCATTTCCCTGGGCACGTCTCTTTCAAAGCCATTTTCTGACCCAAACCAGATGTAAGCACTTCCTTCTTTGAACCCCACAAGGTAGCTTGTTTATATCTCTTCTGACACTTGGCATTGCTCATTGCGTCTTGTATTAATGAGTTTGGGGTATTTTCATACCTTTACCCCTCTCCTGGGGGATAAAAGATAGCCTATCTTTGCATCCCCAGTGCCTACCACAGTCCCTGGCTCATAATACATACTGAACAGAAATGATTAGACTGGATTGTGCAAATCAAGGAGTCACCCACTTGAATGGCAGAAGAGGCAGACTTTTAGTGAAAACTTTTGTGTATTTTCTTTTTGCATTTAAGAGACAAAGGGTTTGTAGAGAAGAATTGTCTTCGTCATGCTCTGTTGTTTTATTCAGTTGCTCAGTCATGTCCAACTGTGACCCATGGACTGCAGCACGCCAGGCTTCCCTGTCCTTCACTGTCTCCTGAAGTTTGCTCAAACTGCCCTAGATGTGCACATTCTCAAGAATTTCCCTTCTAAGACAAAACACATCACTCACCAGTGATATTAATAACCATCCTTCACGGAGGGCTTCCCACCCTCTACTGTAACAGTATCTGGGAATTTTGTTTTCTTTTTTCTTTCTGTATCTGGGAGTTTTGAAGCCAATTAAATAAGTGGTAACATGGATTTTTCATGTATCATTATCCTGTTATTTCTCCTGCCATCAACCAGACACAGATGTTTAGCTTACCGTACTGTTGTGTCTGTAGATAAAGTATAAACGGTCATTTAGGAAAAAAGTTACATATCTTTTAAGCTTCTGCTTAAAAAAATTTTTCCCCTGTCTTGTTTTTATTTCCATTTTTTTCCTGGTGTACAACCTTTATTATTTAACTGTTAGAATTATTCAATTTCTTTAATAAATAGGTTTCAAGGACGGCCTGTAGCTGTGCCCACGCTGGTGTTGGAGATTTATACCCTCACAGGCTCAGAGGTTGGTGGGGGTCAGAGGAGTAAACAAGCAGGGTGACTGTTGCTCTGATGGGGTGAGAACCTGGGGCAGCCATTGGCGGCTCTCTACCCAGTCTTAAGTTTCAAGGAAAGCTTTTCAGAGGCTGTATGGACTGGAAGACCATGAGGTGGAAGAAGAGCCCTCTAGATGTAGGTGGTGCAAGGAAACGGTGGGAGAAAAGTATACCGAGCATAAAACACAAGCGCAGAGGACACGTGCACGTTTGAAGAACTGCGGTAATTTTAAAATGCGTGGAGTGTCCTGGCAAGAGACAAAGCTTTTCTGTCTTTCCCCTATTTTATTCCCTTTTTTTTTTTTTTAAAGAAACACAGTGCCAAGGCACCAGTAGTTTAGCCCTAGGGCAAACAGGCCTTCTGTTGTGGTTAGCGCCCAGCAGACCTGGGCTAGCTGCGGCTCTTAGAAGCTGAGCTTTAAGTCCTGGCTGCGGCCTCCCTAAGGGCTTCACTCATAGCTCAGTCGGTAAAGAATCTGCCTGCAGTGCAGGAGACCCGGGTTCGACTCCTGGGTTGGGAAGAGCCCATGGAGAAGGAAATGGTAACCCACTCCGGTATTCTTGCCTGGAGAATCCCATGGATGGAGGAGCCTGGAGGGCTACTGTCCATGGGGTCACAAAAGTTGGACACGACTTAGTGACTAAAACACACACACACACACACACACGGCCTCTCAACCTTGATACTTAAGTACCGGGACAGTGCCTTATTCACTCTCTGCTCTGTCCACAGACCTGGTACAGAGCTCAGTTTTGTTGGATAAAGAAGATGGCCACCCAGGACCTGGGAGTGCTTCCCTGGTAGCTTGGTCGGTAAAGAAGGTGCCTGCAGCTCAGGAGACCCGGGTTCGCTCCCAGGGTAGGGAAGATCCCCTGGAGAAGGAAATGTCAACCCACTCCAATCTTCTTGCCTGCAAGATCCTGTGGTCAGAGGAGCCTGATGGGCTACAGTGCATGGGGTCGCAGGAGTAGGACATGACTTAGTGACCAAACCATCGCAGGACCTGGCAGAGATCAATATTATCCTTTGGCACAACCTGACAGGTGGGGCCCCCAAGGTGGGTCGTGGGGTGTCTTTGGTCAAAGAAGTGGTTAACTTAGCTGCAGGCTTTCTATGACAGATTTGCTAAGGAGAACCTCTTCACAGAGCATCATGCCCTTGATGTTGTCAGCCAATTAATTCCTTAAGTACTCTAAGTTAGCAAAACCCTGCTGATTTGATTTTATCTGTCTTTTAAGACTGATCTTTGATCCTATCCCATTCCAGCTGGACTTCCTCTCCTCTCCTTCCCTCCTCCATTACTGACGGTGCACAATCTAATTACCTCATCACCCCTTAATTTATTTATGAAAAGACTGAGGTTAAAGAAAAAAAAAAAGAAATTTTTTAGTCCTTTGGGACTTTCTATAAAAGCTTTCCTTTTCCCATTCCCTCCCTTATGCGGGATAAAACCTCCTTTTGTGTCTCTGGCAATTTGGAATTGTTCTTACTTAAAAATTTAGGTAAATAAACTTCCCTCCCAGGGCTGAGTGGAGGCGAGCCTGCAGGTTAAGCCTGGCCTGCGGACTCCCAGTGGATCAATCAATCTATCAACAAGAATTCCTTGATCTTTCAGGAAGCGGCTTTCAAAATCAGCACACAGCTTCTGGGTGTCCTGGCTTCCTCTGCACAAGACACTGGGGAAACGGAGCTTTTTGAAATTTTAAATTTTATTATTATTACACAGATAATGCATGGATACATTAATCTTTAAAAAAAAATTGAATGCCAGTAATATGCAGAGTAACAAGTGAAAGGCTATCTCCCCCCTTTCCTTGCATCCATCCCCACTGTTTGACATTGTATCCTTTAATTCAGACCATTTAACCATGAGTTTTCTGACATGTACAATTATATAAACATCTAACCGTAACATCTTTCAGTGTCCTATCTTTTTGCCTTTTCATACTGTTCAGGGGGTTCTCAAGACAACAATACTGAAGTGGTTTGCCATTCCCTTCTCCAGTGGACCACGTTTTGTCAGAACTCTCCACCATGACCCGTCCATCTTGGGTGGCCCTACATGGCATGGCTTATAGTTTCATTGAGTTAAACAAGGCTGTGGTCCATGTGATAGATTGGTTAGTTTTCTGTAATTGTGGTTTTCAGTCTGTCTGCCCTCAGATGGAGATGGATAAGAGGCATATGGAAGCTTCCTCATGGGAGAGACTGACTGAGGGAGAAACTGGGTCTTGTTCTGATGGGTGAGATGAGATGAGATGAGATGGTTGGATGGCATCACCTACTCAATTTTCATGAGTTAGAGTAACTCCGGAGTTGGTGGACAGGGAGGCCTGCCGAGCTGCAGTCCGGGGGTGGGGGTGGGGCCACAAAGAGTGGGACACGACTGAGCTACTGAACTGAAGTTTAACATAAATGGGATCACAATGTAGGTGGTCTTGCTACCATTTTTTTCTTGAAACACTATGTCCTGGACATCCTTCAAGACCACACAGACCTACGTTTTAATGCCTGAAATAGTGTTTCACAGCATAGAGATACCGCTATTTAATTATCCTTAACACAGTTTAGAGTTTTTCAGTATTACAAGCAATGTTCCAAGGACCGGTTCTTTGGGAATATCCAAGTATGCATTTACTACGGGATCACCATGTGCCACGCACTTTACTTGGGGTTGGGGGGTAAACAAAACAGACAACTAAAAATAATTTTGAGTGATGGAAAGGGGGTATTTTCTTTTCCCAAGAGGACAAGACAGGCTGAAGATCGGTCTCCACCTCAACCCAGGAGGCCAAGGAGTCCCCCGGGGTGTCTCCCCAGCAGTGAAAGGGGCCGCAGGACCCATCGGTGCTGGAGAGGAAATTGCGGTGCCCTTTTCAAGGAAAGAGGGTCTGATTGCTGCGGGTCGGCAGCGAGGAACCGCTCCTCATACACCACGCGCCGGGCGCTTGGCGCGGAGCCCTACGCGGAGCGCACGTCCGGCGGGGCGGGGCCGAGCGGCGCGCGACCCTCAGCGCGCTCAGGGAGGTAAGGACCGGGGCGGCCTCTCTGGCCCCCACTCCCGCGGGCTCTATGACACCGCACTGGCTCGCGGGACGGGGCGGGGTTGGCTGAGGAGGAGGAAAACCAATTCACGTTGTAAATCTCGCGGTGAGCCACGTGCGGAACTCTCGTGAGAAACAGGAAATACCGCGCTTGCGCAGTGCTGTAGCTCCTGGTGGTTGTGGCCGCTTTGCCGGCGACTGTGAAGCGCGGAACTGCTCCTGTGGAGGCCGTTGAGTCCGCCGCAACTCGCCACCATGAGCAGCACCCTAGCTAAGATCGCGGAGATCGAAGCCGAGGTAATGGACGCTCGAACGCTCCGTCCGAGCCTTCCTCTAAAGCGGCGTTGCTCCCGCCTGAACTCCCCTCAGACGTGTCAGGCCCGGGGCCGCGTTGCCGGACTCCCCTCAGCCTCGGCTCGCTTTCCTTGACTCCCCGCAGCCCGGGCCCGCGTTCAGTACTTTTGCACCTTAGTTGGCGCCCCCTCCCAGCGTTTGGCTCCTGTCTGAACTTTCAGTTTTCCCTTTCTTTTCTGTGAGCAGCACGGAATCCTATCCCCTCACTTCAGCCCTGATTTGCTTACGTACCTACCTCAGTATCTTTCCTCACACCCTTTCTTCCCCAGTCGCTGCTTTGGTGACCCCCTTTCCTAGAGTGTTGCTCCCGGGGAGTAGGGTCTGGAAGTAAATTGTCATCTCTGGTAGTTTTCATTCCACCTGGATTGTTGTGTGATTCTTCTGTCTGAAGGGCTCAGAGCTCTTTAAAATCGGTTGGGGTACACGGGGTACAAGCAGTTGAGAAGGGTTCAGCAGTTGAGTTGTAGCGTAATCTGTGAACGCTGATTGTAATGATTTTGGTCACATTTCTTCTCTTTGTGCCTCAGTTGTTTGCTCTGTAATGAGGCGAATTGACTGGGTGATGGAGAAAATGGATTTTTACTCTTTTTAAGTCTGACTTAAAATGGGTATATTGACGTTAGTAGGACTTAGAAGAAAACATCCTTCTCAGAGTTGGGGGAGCATTCATTCTGGATGTTTTACCTTGTAGGAACTGCTTCTGATTTATGGCTGTGATTCCTCCCTAATAGATGGCTCGGACTCAGAAGAACAAGGCCACAGCACACCACCTAGGGTTGCTTAAGGCTCGTCTTGCTAAGCTTCGCAGGGAGCTCATTACTCCAAAAGGTGGTGGTGGTGGAGGACCAGGAGAAGGTTTGTGTTTGAGTGTTTCTTTTCTTTTCGTGTGTGTGTAATTTTTATGAAAGTAGTAAAGGCATATGGTAAAAAATAGTTTAGAGATGCCTATCAAAGTAGATTTATGTTTTCTAAGCTTAAATTCTTGAATTGTGTTTATTTTTATTCTGTTGATTTCTGGGTTTGTGTGGGGGTTTTTTTGTTTGTTTGTTTTTGGTCATACAGCGTTGCTTGTGAGATTTTTTAGTTCCCCTGTCAGGGATTGAACCTGGGCCTTGGCAATGTAAGTGCAGAGTTGTAACCACTGGACCGCCAGGGAATTCCCAATTCTGCTGATTTCAAAGGCTAATGAATACTCTAAGTGAACTAGGGTTTTGTTTATGTATATCCTGTCCTGATCCAAAATAGATTTATGTTGGCTCACTGAATTATGTAAATAAAGAGTCGACAAGATAGAGGAAGTTGCTGCAAAGGGAAGTAAAGGTAGAAAGAATAAGTTGAAGCCAAGAGAAAGTTGGTAGGAAAAGTAATGTCACAAGGTCTGTACACTTCCAGAGAAGGGCCACAAATTTGGCTTTGAATTTGTTTGCAACTAATTGTAAGAAAAGAAAACTCTTGTTAGTCAAACAGTTCCCAGGGTTTGTAGGGAAAAAAAATTTTTTTTAGATCAATTATTGTATAATATTTGGGCCCTAAATACTGTGCATAGGTATATAACAACAGTTAGAGGTATAAAGATTTTCCATCAAACAATCCATTAAATACTGTGAATTGCCATGGGGGAATTTTGTGTGTTTAAGTTCTACTCTAGAGACAAATTGTTGAAAGTTGGAGAAACAGATTTTAGAGGGGTAGGAAGCAGAATGTAAAAGGAATTGCTTGAGTCTCAATGCTCCCAAGGATAACATTCTTCTTTTTATATTTATTGATGTTTTAGGATTTGATGTTGCCAAGACAGGTGATGCTCGAATTGGGTTTGTGGGTTTTCCATCTGTGGGGAAGTCAACACTGCTCAGTAACCTGGCAGGGGTATACTCGGAGGTCGCAGCCTATGAGTTCACTACTCTGACCACTGTGCCTGGTGTCATCAGATACAAAGGTGCTAAGATCCAGGTAAGTTAGGTCTGAAGGCCAAGGACTGGAAGAAGTCAATTCTTCCATCCATTTACGAAGAACTTATTTGGAACTTCCTATATACCAAGCCTCGTATTTGATCTACCAGAACCTCTTTGTCTAGCAGGGGAGACATAGAAGACCAATGCATACAAATTAAAATATCGTTTGTAAAAACACAGAGAAAGGAAGGACTACTTTTTCCACCTGAGGATGGGGTGAGGGAAGGTCTGGTAAGACAGAAAAAGCTTTACATAGAAAGTAACAGTAAGATGGGTTTTGAAGTTTATTAGAATTTTATTAGCTGGACAATATAAAGGGCAATTTCAAGCAGCTATAATGGGGAGCAGCCTGTAGTGTGAGCTTAGCTGTGGATAGGGAGTAGTAGAAACTGAATTTGGAAAGGTAGACTGGAGCTGAGTTATGAAGGGTCTTAATGTGCCTGCTAAGGAAGTTGAATTTTATCTTGTACATAACTGGGAGCCATTAGAAACGTCTAAATAAAGAATAACATGACCCTTTTTAGAAGATAATTTAGAAGACCCTAAGACCCTTTTTAGAAGATAATTCTTATCTGTGAGGCTTAATGAAGTTGTTGTCTTCACAAGTTCTTAGATGATAGATTTAGGGCTCCCAAATGAGGAGTCCACTTGGGTATGAAAGATATATGTAAAATATGATGGAACACTTTTTTTTTGGCTCCACAGCTAAGAAGATAAGGTTCTGAATTTCATGACATTTGAATCTAGGTTAGAGGTTCCCAAATCCTTAGTGTTTCAGTAGGTTCACACCCTTAGTGTCTTAGTAATTATTTTCTGACAGCTTTTCTGTTTCCAGTAATTTTTTGTGGTGCTCTAGGCCAAGAGAAGTAACCTAATGGTTCTGTTCCTTTAATAGTTAGATCCAAACAATTATTTAGGACCGTAACAGATACAGTTATTTACTGATGGGATATGGACACTGTTAGGTACCATGTAACTTCTCAGACTTTGCAGTCAGATTGAATATTGCCACATTTGTTTCTTTTTCCACCCTGATTTTTGTCTGTTGCTAAATTTTTGCCATAGTAATCACTGAAAAATCTAGCTTTACCAAAATTTGGATCTGTTATTGTTGAAAGCAGTGTAGTAGAATCTAATGGTGAAGTTGTGAGCTTTTTGGATCTAGTAGGTTGACAAATACTGATAATTGCTGTTTTTCTTGTAAATTAGAATGCCCTCAGTGCCTTGGCAGAGCATTTAAGAACTCTTTAGTGTGTGTAGGCATTTGTTTTCCCTCTAAACAGTGAGTTACACAGTGAGTTGTGAAGTGCATTCATATTTCCTTATTATAGAATCTGAAGTAAGGAGTGACCAGTGTCCTGGTGGTATTTTCAGTGACTTTTTTTCTTTCTGGTTAGGTACCATTAGAACATGTACCTTTCTAGGACTCCATGTACATAACAAGAATGAGGACACTTGGGCATATCTGGACCACTGCTTAATTTCATCTGGTTTCAGAATCTTGTTGATAGTTTTGTCAGTTCAGAGAGTAACCTCTTTCCTGAAGAGATGTTATGGTGCCTCTTGGTATAATCCCTCTCTTTTCTTGTCTTTTCCTCAAAACCTTCATTTATTTCAGTCTCTTTTGACCTTTTCAGGTTTTTTTCCTTCCTTTTTTTTCATGGTGCTTTCTTTTCCATCTGTGCCCTCTGCCTATTTTTCCTTCCCTTTTGAATTTCTCCAGAAACCAAGTTAAGTAGGCATACTGCTGCTGCTAAGTCACTTCAGTTGTGTCTGACTCTGTGCGACCCCATAGACGGCAGCCCACCAGGCTCCTCTGTCCCTGGGATTCTCCAGGCAAGAATACTAGAGTGGGTTGCCATTTCCTTCTCCAATGCATGCATACATGCTAAGTTGCTTCAGTCGTGTCTGACTCTGTGCGACACTATGGACAGCAGCCCACTAGGCTCCTCCATCCACAGGATTCTCTAGGCAAGAATACTGGAGTGGGTTGCCATTTCCTTCTCTAGGCATACTAGTAGGTGTGTTTAACTGGATTAAAATGACTGCCCTCAAAATGTTTTTTAAAAGGCTCTTTTGTGGCAGAGGACTCATTGTGACTCTCTGGGGGCATGGTATACAAAATTAGAACCATCTAACAATTACAAGGATATTGATTTCTGTTTTTGTTGTTGTTGCTATTGTTAGGAAGATCTTTTTTAACAATAAAGGTGCCTAAAAATGGAATAGTACCTCTTGAGTTAATTATTGTGTCTGGAGATGTTTAAGTAGTAGCTGAACAAGCAATTAACCAGTGATGTTAGAAGAAAACTGATGTTTCACATAGTCAGAGATTGGCCTGCAAAGTGGATGTACAGTGCTTTAAAAATTATGGGTCTTATGTTTCACCTTGCCAGAGTCCCTAGGACTCCTGTTGTCATATGTGTGTGTGTGTGTGTGTGTGTGTGTATGGACATGCACATATATCTGCTTTAACCTCTAAAGGCATTCGAATTTGAAGTAGGTTAGCATCCAATTCTTAAAATCCTACAGTTATGTGATTTGAAGATATATTTTTTCTTTTCTCAATTCTTAGTTGTAATCTGATATTCATATATGTAAAGCATGGCCTGTTTTTATTGGGTGAAATTTAGTTGCCACGTTTGACTAGTTCAGTCTAATTTAAAATATTTAAATAGTTTAATGTAATTTTAAATATTTCCCTCTCAAGAAAAGCTTAAGTTAACTTGCTTTTATGTGTGTCGGGGCCTCAGTAAATTTCTCCACCATGTTCAGCTGCCATAGTTAGAAAGCTTTTGCTCTTTCTTTCTCAGTTTACTATTAAAGGAAATATTTATTGCACTGTGCCAGGTCTTAGTTGCAGAATGCAGAATCTAGTTCCCTGACCAGGGATTGAACCTAGGCCCCCTGAATTATTGGGAGTGTAGAGTCTTTGCCCCTGGACCACCAGGGAAGTCCCCAGGCTTATCTTATATTTTCCCTATCCCAGCCCTGCAATGAACCACTTCTGACTGAGCTGTTCCTTCCTTTTGTTGGAGATAGGTACTTAGAAATCAAGATCTGATGTGCTCACTAGTCCCAGTTTTAGAGGAGGTAATGTTATTTATTATGTAGTGAGGAATGAGGAGCTTTTGAGCAGGTTCTCAAATAGAAAAGTTGAACTCTAAACACCTCCTGAGTTCATTCTTTTTCCTTGTGGTTTATTTAATGTGAAGTATATTTCTGTAATATCAGATATGCTTACTGCAGAAGATACTTGTTTTTTTTTTTTCCTTTGGCCGTGCTGCACAGCTTGTAGGATCTTAGTTCCTAGACCTGGGATGAAGCCTGGGCCCTCGGCATTGAAAGTGGAGAGTCTTAACCACTGGACTGCCAGGGAATTCCCCAGCAAAGACTGGTTTTAAATGATGTTTTGATAAACCGCAACTATATCCCTGTCTGTTCATGTGGATAATTCAGTATTGGCCATACTGTACCATGGTCCTTGGTATTTTCAGATTTTACATATGCTAGTAAATGACTCTTAAGAGCTTATAATTGTAGTTTATGAATTTGAATCATGAGTGCTACAGATTTGGTTTTGATGTTCTCATCATTAGGTACATACACTGTGACTTATGTGAAGTTTTACTTTATTGCATTTCCTGGGCAATTAAGTAGTTATTTTCAACTGAGGACACATATCAAAGTCACCCTTGGAGCCTTTTGAAATACAGATCAGTATCTGAATCCTACTTTGGCTCTTGCAAAGCAGAATTTGCAGGGATAGGGCTTAAATATCTGCATTCTGAATTGTTTTATAGGTGATTCTTATGTGCTTGCTTAAGAATGGCTGCAGAAATTTTTGTGAATTGGAGGATTTGCAAAGGTCTCAAGATTTATCACTTGTGAATATCGTGATTCAGTTGTATCTATAGTAAGGAATTTGTGTGGAGGCTCAACTTTCTGGAAAGTGGGAAAATACTGATAGATACTAAAGTAGAATTATGGATTTGTGTCCCCAAGATGTGGATTAAAATCTGGTGTATTTGGCCTGTGACTTTGGGCAAACCACTTAGCCTTTGTGGACCTCAACTAATATCCTTATTCACAGACTTGCTAGGTTTTTGAATGAGATAAAGTATATAAGAAGCTTGCAGCTGATATTTGGTAGATGCTTAGTAAATGTTCAGCTTTAGTAGATGCCCAGGAAATGTTCAGATTTACAACCAGCTTTTCCTTTTCTCTCCTTTTCTCTTCTTGAAGCTTCTGGATCTCCCAGGTATCATTGAGGGTGCCAAGGATGGGAAAGGTAGAGGCCGTCAAGTCATTGCAGGTGAGTGTTCTGGGGCCACTGTCCTGGTGTATCATCTCTTTACTGGGTGCTGTTCCTTTAGGGACTGTGGAGCTTGGAGTTGGTACCACAGTGAAGGGAATAGTTTTACCCGACTTCTCACTGGAGCAGAATTTTGGAACTTGAAGGGATTCAGAGTATAACAGTCCAGACCCCCATTTGAAGGGAAAGGAAGGACAGGAGAAGTGAAGTGCTTTGACGCAGTGCTGCCCTGTTGTGACAGGTTCAGAGCTAGACCTCAGGTTTCCTGACTCCCACTCATGCCTTTTCTTCTTCTTTTTATTTAAAGTAAAATGTTATAAAAGCATAATCATAGGGGAATTCTTTGGGGTTCCAGTGGTTAGAGCTCCATGCTTTCACTGCTTAGGGAGTGGATTCAATCCTTGGTCAAGGACCACAAGCCACATGATAGAACCTTTAAAAAAAAAAAAAAGCTAATCATAAATTTCAGTAATCTGCTGCTCCATCTGTTTTCATCTCTACTGTCATTCCCCATTGGCAAGTACTGTCAAGTCTTCAACTGTTTCTTCTGCTTCATGTTTTAAAATGTTATGCTTATATTACTGTTTCATGGTTAATTAATTTTAAATACCATCTATTGGTTTCATGTAATGGTAGGAAATTAGCTCTCTTGTACTCCATATCTCTTCTCCTGTTTTTTCAAAGAAGTTATATCATAATTTTTAGTTAACTCATTAGTCATGGTTTATGCTATTATGTAATGGCTGTGTAACTTGTTCGGTGCTGAGATAAGTACTGTATTATGACTTGATTTCTTTTCTCTTGAAATCTGCTTTTTAAATTTGTTTTTCATTGAGTTAATAATTGGTTCTTATTTTGTTTACTTTTCTGTTGGCTAATATTTTTCAAATGTTCCAGTAGATCAAATGCCTATCAATCGGTATTTTTCTAGATATTTGAATACAGTGGCTATTGAGGACTTTGTGTTCCTAGTACAATTGAGTTATGAAATTTTAAATTTTATAATTTTAATTTAAATTTGAATAGCCCCAGGTGACTAGTGGAGTCTATAGCTCCACTACAGTGTAGCTCCAGATTTTTTGCATGGCTGAGATTGTGTATTGGATCCCCTATTTCTTAGAGTTGGTTGTCTTACCTTTTTGGGGTTATTTTCATGTTTTGCTGAAGTACATTATTTAGAAAAAATGAATAAGAGTGAATGACAGGTAAATTGTTCTTGTATTTTTCATGTTTGAAAGTATTTTTATTCCACCCTTGCATTAAATTAATAATTTAGCTGTTTATAGAATTATAGTTTTGAAGTCATTCATGGTTGACTATCAGGAACTTGCTAAATGAAAAGAGTTGGGCACAAAAGACTACATTTTGTATGGTTCCGTTTATACAAAAATCTTAAAAATGCAACTTAACCTATGGTGACAGAGCAGTGGGTGACTGGTAATTGAAAGGGAGATTGATTGCAGAGGGGTACAAGGAAACTTTTGGAGATGATGGAAATGTTCCGAATCTCAGTTGTTATGGTGGTTACATAGGTGTATACATTTGTCATCAAATTGTATGCCTAACATGGGTACTATTTATTTTTTATAAATTATAGCTCAAGAAAGTTGCCAAAAAATATGCTAACTGGATAACTTTTTTCTTTTAGAATTCTTACTGTTTTAAATCTTTCTGAACTTTTTCAGGGATTCAGGTTATTACCTGGTTTCTATCTTCATTCCAAATTATTTTTCTGCTAGTATATCTAGAATGCTAGTATATCTGGATCTAGACACATCTCTCCATGCGCTAACAGAAAGCAAAGCTCGCATTGCAGAGTGACTTCTGACGTAAATCTTTGGAAACCTTAACTTCGTGTGTGTGCGTGTGTGTGCGTGCGTGCGTGCGTGCGCGCGTGCTAAGTCACTTCAGTGGTGTCCGTCTTTTTGTGACCCTATAGACTGTAGCCCACTAGGCTCTTCTGTGTAAATCTTTGGAAACCTTAACTTCGTGTGTGTGCGCGTGCGTGCGTGCGTGCGTGTGCGCGTGCTAAGTCACTTCAGTGGTGTCCGTCTTTTTGTGACCCTATAGACTGTAGCCCACTAGGCTCTTCTGTGTAAATCTTTGGAAACCTTAACTTCGTGTGTGTGTGTGTGTGAAACCTTAACTTCGTGTGTGTGTGTGTGCGTGCGCGTGCTAAGTCACTTCAGTGGTGTTTGTCTCTTTATGACCCTATAGACTGTAGCCCACTAGGCTCTTCTGTGTAAATCTTTGGAAACCTTAACTTCATGTGTGTGTGAAACCTTAACTTCGTGTGTGTGTGTGTGTGTGTGCGCGTGCTAAGTCACTTCAGTGGTGTCCGTCTCTTTGTGACCCTATAGACTGTAGCCCACTAGGCTCTTCTGTCCATAAGATTTTTCAGGCAAGAATATTGGAGTGGGTTGCCGTTTCCTCCTCCAGGGGACCTTCCCTATCCAGGGATCGAACTTGCGTCTCTTACATCTCCTGCATTTGCAGCAAAGTTCTTTACCTCTAGTGTCACCTGGGAAGTCTCCCTCTCTCTATATATATCTATCTATCTATCTATATATATATAGATATGTATGTATATTAAAAAAAAATCTTCTATCTCTTAAGTGTAGGAACTGTCTACCACCCCCTCCCTGTTTTGGAGTGTTTGAATTATGTTGTCTTTAATGATCTTTGAAAAAGATTTTTTAATTTTCATTTCTTCAGTGGCCAGAACGTGTAACTTGATCTTGATTGTTCTGGATGTCCTGAAACCCTTGGGACATAAGAAGATAATTGAAAATGAGCTGGAAGGCTTTGGCATTCGCTTGAACAGCAAACCCCCCAACATTGGCTTTAAGAAGAAGGATAAAGGAGGCATTAATCTCACAGCCACTGTAAGTGAAGAAAGTGATATGGGATAGGTTGTTGAAGGGACTGGGGTGGAGAGTGGAGTGTAGTACATGGACACTGACATTTGGAAATTACCTGGCTTCTCCCAGAGCTAATTGAAGTAATACGATGACATTGTAATGACTGACAGAGTAGGACAGAAGTCCATCTCAGACTACTTTTGTGGCTTTATTTCCTCTTTGGGGTGGTATGAAACTAAAGCTTATGCTTGCATGAAGTAGATGGCTGCTGGTATCATCTATTTTCATTCATTCAACACAGATTTATAGAGCACCTCCCATGGGCTACCATTGTTTTAGGCTTTTAGGGGAAATGGAAGAGGGGGCAAAAATTCCTGGCTTTATATTCACATGGGGAAGTAGCAAACAAAATTAATGAGTGATTATAGTATATTATGAGTCTGAGTGCTGCCTGCTGCACTAATACAGTACATTATGTTAGGATAAACTAAGGACAGATGTTAACGAGGGAAAGAGGATGGAGAGTGTTGGTAGTATGGTTGTGTTTTTTAAGTAGGTCGATCAGAGAAATCTTCACTGAGGTGACAAGAAGGAGTGAACCAAATGAATATCTTAAGGAAGGGCATTTCATGTAGAGGGAACATCCAAGTGCAAGGCAGGTAGAGCATGCCTTTGCTTGTTTGAAGAACAGCAGAAAGAGCAAGTAGAAGAGTAGTAAGAAACGAAGTCATAGCATAGGGCCATACATACTTTTACTTTGCAGAAGATGGTTGGGTTCCAGTCTGTGGAATAAAGTTGATTGAGGTTTTAATGGAATCACTCTGACTGTTGAAAACTGACTGAAATGGGTTAAGAACAGAAACACAGAACCCATTTAAGAGGTTATTACAATAATCTAGTCAAGAAGTGATAGTTTCTTAGACCAGAGTTTAAATAGTGGAGGAGATGTGGACTAGTTATTGTGGAAAGATTTTGGAAATAGTTGGTGGGAATTATAGCTAGACTGGGTGTGGGTTGTGAGAGAAAGAGGTGATGGTGAGTTTTTGTAATTAGCTACAAAATGAACTCTTGTGACTAAAATGGTAGGATTTAAGTGTAGAATAGGTTTGGAGGGGAGTGGAAGGTCAGGTATTCAGTTTAAGATGCCAGTAACACTCAAGTTAGACATCTAAGTATTATTACTGTCAAATAGGCATTTGAGGAAAGATCTGTGCTGGAGGTATAAATTTATTAGTTATCAATTTTAAAGCCATGAGCCTAGCTGATATCACTTAGCTGAGGAAGGGAGTATAAATAGAAAAGAGTTTCAAGGATTGAGCTTTGTGATACCTTCCTCTACCCTCTCACAATGATTAGAGGCCAGGAGATGGGAAGAATCAGCAAATAAAACTTCTCAGTCAAGAAAGAAAATCAGAAAAGTTTGGAATCCTGAAAGTCAATTAAAGAAAGTGTTTCAGATTGGTAAGAGTGATCGATTCTATCAAATGCTGTTTCTAAGTCATGTGATTGAGGATTGAAAACTTCCTATAACTTCTAACATTCTAGAGATCCAGATTATTTGACTGGCATAGACTTAAGCTGTCCTGCCCCAAAGATCTTTCCTATTATCTTCTCATAATGTTTGAGTTGGAGCTTTCTTTCTGTATTTTTGCTATGCCTGCTGTAGTAAAGTACTATGGAGTGGGTGGCGTAAACAGCAGAAATTTAATTCTCTTAATTCTGGAGCCTGGATATTTGACATCAAGATGTGAGCCGTACTGGTTTCTTCTGAGACCTCTTGTCTTTGGCTTGTAAATGGCTGTCTTCTCCTGTGTTTTCGTATGATCCTCCCTCTCTGTGTCTGTGTTGGACATGAGTCATATTGGTTTAGGGCCCACCCATATGACATTTTAATTTAATTACCTCTTTAGATTTTAAGTATTTCCTACTCAAAGCCTGTATCATCTAGGATAATGGTTTTTAGAAATAAATTTGCACTTTGTCTAGAATTATCCGGGTACATCAACAGATACTTTTAGGAGATTGTCTTTTTTTGCTCTCTGACCAGTTGTTGTCTTCTCTGCCCATTCAGTGCCCTCAGAGCGAGCTGGATGCTGAAACTGTGAAGAGCATTCTGGCTGAGTACAAAATCCATAATGCTGATGTGACTCTGCGTAGTGATGCCACAGCAGATGATCTCATTGATGTGGTGGAAGGAAACAGGTACTGACCAAATGGTGCCTGAGTTTGAATTTGAAGCCTTGTAATGGAAACAGCATTGGATTGTGAATCTGGCAGACATCAATTCTAACTGCAGTTGTGCTCTTGTCTCAAATAATAGTGGGCCTTGCTTTCTTTATAAAATGAAGGGTTGTCTTGATTGCTAACATCCTTCTTTGCTCTGAAGTTTGATGATGAAAACAAGTTGTTTGTTTCAGTTACTTGCTGTGAACTAGGCTATCTCCTAAGCTCTGTGTTGTGTGATGGTTCAAGAGAGTAGGTTCTCAGTCTGCTCTCACAGAATTAATCCATCTGAGAAATTCTGTAGGCTGTTCTGTGGAGCTTAGAGCAGACTGGGCTGTATCTGTTTTCTCTAAGAGTACGTAACTGAGATCTTACATAACATGAGACATTACTATTTGAAATTAAGTAATAATTGAAACTACTGTTATTTCTGGCATTTTGAAAACAGACAAAAACTGGTGCTTTGAGTTACATGTTTATAAGTGAGGCAACTGAAGCCTGAGAGGTTGTAGCTTGCCTAATTATTAGTAACCTTAGCTGCCCTGTTGATTTAACAGTTAGGATTGTGACATTGCTAGATGTTGTGTTTAAAAAAATTTTTTTTAATTCTTGAAATTTATTCTATTAGAAATGTTTTACATTCTTACAGTTCATAAAACAACTGGGAAATCAACTCTTGAGATTGCCTAGGGACACAGGTCTAGAAAGTGACAGAGCTGGGAATACATTCTGTGTGACTCTAAAGCTTATGTTATTTACACTGCAGCATGCTTTCTCAGTAAGTTGTTGCATGACTAGGGACTATGGCTTGAGTTTTGTTACTTCTTAACCGATAATTCACTTTTTGCATGTTCTACCTTATTTTGGTAGTAAACATTTTCTTTTTTTTGGCTGACTTTCTTATGATTCCATTTTAGGGTCTCTGATTTTGAGTCCTGGGTGACGGGCTGTTGAATCAGACTGACAGTCTTGTCCACGGCTCCAGACTAACATATTGTTTTTCTTCTACTTCTGTAGAGTCTATATCCCGTGTATCTATGTGTTAAATAAGATTGATCAGATCTCCATTGAGGAATTGGATATTATCTATAAGGTGCCTCACTGTGTACCCATCTCTGCCCATCACCGCTGGAATTTTGACGACCTGTTGGAAAAGATCTGGGACTATCTGAAACTAGTGAGGATGTAAGTCTTAGTGGAGACAGTATTATTACTGTAGGATTTAAAGCAGACTGTCCAAAAATAATACCTGCTGGAGCTCATTAACATAATCTGTTTTTGGAGATAATAATAAACTAATTCTTATCATCTGCAAGGCCATATTGAGGGCACCTTCTTCCTCAAGATAGAGGTTATCCGTGTCTGGTCCCTGGGTTGAGGGAGGGTTGAGTTGTGTTCACACATGAAGCATTCTAAGAAGTAAGCAGTCTCTGCTCCCCCTGTGTTCCAGTTATACCAAACCCAAAGGCCAGTTGCCTGATTACACGTCCCCAGTGGTGCTGCCTTACTCCAGGACCACAGTGGAGGATTTCTGCATGAAGATTCACAAAAATCTTATCAAAGAATTTAAATAGTAAGTATCATGGCATGTGGTGCTTTCTTTTCCCTGTGAGCTACTGATTGTTCTAACGAGTAATTCTTAGGTAGTGTTATAGAAATTAGGCATCAGGAAATGCTTGCTTGGTTAGAACCTTGCAATGTCTTCTTAAATGCTAAATCAAAACAGAAAGTGACACATGCCAACTTGGAGCAGGAAGAGCCCTAAACACCTTTTCAGGTTGGGAGGGCTGACAATACAAATTGCTCTGAGGTTCTCTTGTTAATTCATTTTCCTCTTGGCAAACACAAAACGTTAATTCTTCCTGCCATCATCATATTGGGCTTCACTGGGTACCGAGGCCCCCCTAATACCTTTTGGATAAGTAAATACTCTCTTGATAGAGTTTTCCTAGTATGGCTAAGGAAGGTAACATTTGTTACCAGTAACCACTGATGGTTCATAGACCCAGTAAAAACTAGTATTCTGTAACATTGCATTTGTAGGAATCAACTTCCAATCAGTTATTTCAGGGTATTTCTCTGTAACACGCGTATGCTTTTTCCTTTTATTTTTAAATTAGTCTCGTCACACTTCTCCTTTGTATTTTTTTCCTTTGACTTTCATAAATTGGCTCTGGATCATGGGGAAGCACATAACTTTCAAGACTTCCACTTTTTATGTGAAGGTTCTAATATGCCACACTTCAGGAAAGCTAAAGCCTCTGGACTTTGACTGGGGGATAGGAAATCTTGTCTTGCAGGCCTTTGACTCTTTAACAGCTGGAATGCTAGCTCTAAACAGAAAGTGACACCTAGGTGGGTAGAAGCTAGGTGATTATTTACAATGAATATTCTTTTTTTCCTTCCATACAGTGCTTTGGTGTGGGGTCTCTCTGTGAAACACAATCCTCAAAAAGTGGGTAAAGACCATACATTGGAGGACGAAGATGTCATTCAGATTGTGAAGAAGTGATGCCATCCCCTTCCCCATCTGCCGGGCCAACCCTAGCAGCTTTCTCCATGATCAAACACCTGACTCCAAGCCCCTCCTGGGTTTGACAGGCTCTGGATCAGGATACAGGGAGGGAGATGGAAGCACCCAAATTGGAACTTCACTTGTCTTAACTTGGTGTCACCTTATGTGTTGAGCTGCATAAAGGACCTGGTAGGCCAGCTGACTCTGTACAGTTCATGTGTCATTGTCAGAATTTGTTTTGAGATGGATTGAATGAGGTCGGTTATGTATAGTGAGGCAGCTACAGAAGAGGCACTTGGGAGCTTGGTCTTGAACGTGAAATGGGTAAAAATGTGACTGCAGCATTTCACCTGATGGTTAGTGATGAGAAATGCTTCCAACTGGGTGTGGCTTTCAGTCCTTTCAAGTGGTTTTTCTCTAATGATAATGGAGAAAGGAAGGACTTGATGTAAGTTAACTGATTATTCCCTGCAAGTCTAGCCCACTTGGGAGATGGTGTAGTGTGGTGGTTGAGTAAAATACTCCGACCAGACCCATTGGGCTTTGAGTGGCAAGCCCACCTTTAATTAGCTATGGAACTCTGCATAAATTACTTGATCTCTGTAAGTGTCAGTTTCCTCATGTAACATGGAGATAGTAATAACACCTTTTAGAATGGAGATTTTTAGTATTAAGAGATGGTACTTGTAAAATGCTAATTAGCACAGTGTCTGATACGTAAGTACTTGGTGAATGTTGGCTGTTGTTTTCACTGGTTCCTCTCCTTTAGTTAGAGCTCAGCTGTGTATCAGTGTTGAGCTGAGTGTTGAGCTGAACTGTGCTGCCAGCTGCATGCCACTGTCTCCTTTGCCATAACCCAGCCCTTCTTGAACTCCCATGGCAGTCCTGGCCCCAACCACATAACTTGGGTGAAAGCATGGAGGTAGCCCAGTGCAAGTGAGGCAACCAGTCTAATCAGAGCAGGTTTGTGGGTACACCTGTGTGTTTGTATGTAGGTTGGAGGGAGGGTAGATTATAAGAAGTAATGGGGTCAGGATTACTGGAGAGGGTGCTAAGGACATCATTAAAGGTTTTGGACTGGGAATAAGGGAATTTAAAGGGATTGCCTTGATAGTAGATAGTGAAAGTGAAGTCGCTCAGTCGTGTCTGACTCTTTGCGACCCGTGGACTATAGCCCACCAGGCTCCCCTGTCCATGGGATTCTCCAGGCAAGAATACTGGAGTGGGTTGCCATTTCTTTCTCCATGACAGTAGAAAATTGACTGGCAAAAATCTTTGTGTCTAGAGTGGATTAGTGAGAATATGGGAGAGGGCGGTTGTGGGCATATAGGAGGAGAAATCTAAACCTGGTAACTGACTTGCTCTTTGGAGAGAGAAGTCAAAGGTTATATAATTATGGATTGCAGGGATGATAGAGAAGGGTGGTCCATAAGGAAATCAGCAAGGGAAACAGATACACAGGAAGACAAGAGTTTGATTTTAGATGAAGTGAACTAGAGCTTCTAGCAGGCTGTGAGCAGTGAGGATGTGGGATTATCCACATACTCAGCCTTTTCCAGTAGTTGTTACTCTTGTTATAGTAGTGACAGTTGTTTCCCTCTCATAGTCTCCCTAGAGCTTGCGCTTAACACTGTCCCCAGGCCCAGGAGATAAGCCGCTTAGGCGTGGTATCCTAGTCAACTTTGGAGGGTGTAGATCTTGATATCACTGGTACATTCATGATAGAGGCCATAATTTAGCATCTACTCTGGCTTTTCAGGGAGACACTGGCTTTCTGAGATATGGGATTTCCAGCAAGGTTTACTTTCGAGGCAGAGCATATATTGGGTTTTGGGGAGTCCTCAAATTCACTTTCATTGGGCAGTGAAATGCCAGAATGTTGAGAAAGAGGTTGAAATCTGGGTTCATTCCAAGGCTTCAGGATATGCTTTGAATGGGCTTTGCTTCCATCTTTCCACACCTTCCCCTTCCCCCATCAGTGGCCCCCTGGTGTTTGAGGAGAGCATTACCCTACCTCTCCTTTCTGGGCTCAGGCTTGGGAGTTCTGGGAGAGGTACAGTTTTGTGTTTGGAATGCTGCCTGGGGTAGGGCCACCAAGGAGGGTTATTTCTACAGGGCAAAGCTTTCTCTTCCTGAACTCCAAGACTAGGGTTGTTTGACTGTCACAACATGGCTTGAATTTCCAATTTTCTTTTCGAATTCTTTTAGCTGTGTTTCAGTTCAGTTCAGCTCAGTTGTGTTCCGACTTCCTGTGACCCCATGGACTATAGCACGCCAGGCTTCCCTGTCCAGCACCAACTCCCGGAGCCTATTCAAACTCATGTCCATTGCGTTGGTGATGCCACCCAACCATCTCATCCTCTGTCATCTCCTTCTCCTCCCACCTTCAATCTTCCCCAGCATCGGGGTCTTTTCCAATGAGTCGGCTCTTTGCATCAGGTGGCCAGAAGTAGTATTAAGCTGTGTTTAATAGCAGACAATAACTTAACCAGCTGAAATGGAAGAAAACTTGGTCTCTCACATAAGTTTTCTGGAGCTCACATGGGCTAGCTGGTAGGTCACTGACGATCCAAGTTCTTTCCATGATGCCACCCTGTCCACTGCTTTGCTGGGCAAATGGCTCCCCTCACAGTCGAAGAATATCTTGATAGTCTTGGGCTTTATACCAGTATCCAGAGGATGCTAAAGAGGGCTGAATCTTAACTTTTGGTGAAGCCATTTCTCAGAAGCTGCACAGCCAGTTCCTGTTTGTGTCTCATACCCATTCTTGAACCAGTTGTTAGTAAAGGGAGTAGAATATTGAAGAGTCCATTTATGTTATCTTCATTCCTGGAGTTTACCCCTTTCATTTATAGGCCAGTGGACCTGACTTCCTTTCTACCTTACAAGACTGTCCTATAAGATATCTCCTATAAGAAGACGTGGCTGTACTTTCCCATTTAAAGAAAAATTTAGCTTTATTTTTTTTCATTGTGCCTCACAGCGCACAGGATCTTAGTTCCTTGACAAGGAATTGAACCCAGGGCCCCTGCATTGGGAGTGTGGAGTTTTAACCACTGGACAGCACGGAAGTTCCTGTACTTTCCCATTTTTCCCCCTACTTCTCATTATTACTAATTTCCAAAGTACTGGTTGCTCAACTGCTTCCTTAGGGGCAGGGGCAGTGTTCTCTCCTACGTGACCCCTCATTCTCTGTGGCCCTCTGCTGTTTTACTTTGAGGAGGCTTTGCACATCCTTCCAGCCTTGATTGCTTCTAAGCTTGTCTCATGCCTGCTAGACTTCCCAGAGTTGCTGCATGTAAGATGGCTTATTAGCTGAGACATCATGTCGTCATGTTCTCCTTACTCCATAGCTTGCTCTTAGTTTCAGAAGACTGTATTCACTTCCTTTTTTGCCTCTACTCCCATTCACGAAAATAGTTTTAAGATCTATGTATTTAGCTTCTGCTGTGCTATTCTTAGCAGCACTCCTTTATTTTCTTCTGACTCCATCTCACCAGTTACTGGCTTTGCCCTTTGCTTGGTGCCTACATTTGTGCATGTCTGTCGTATTAGCTTCTGGCCTAAAAAGGAATTCCTATCAGCTTCAAACCAATCCTCCCCACTCTACACATAGGACTGTTGGTTCAACATGAAAGGAAAGGAGGTGAAAGGACATACAAGAAAGATAGAATTGGATTCAGGTTTCTGTTCTGCCACTGTTGCTTCAGATTTTTTCCAGATTCTTTGTTTATGAAACAAAGCATTTGTGAGAATTCTAAACAGGGCTTATTTCTGAAGTTGACTCACTCAGCAGATCCCACTGCAGGGAGGGAGGGGGTGAAGTTGGAAGTGCTAAACTTGAAGTACTATGAAGAGACAGACCTCATGCTCAGTCCACAAAGCCAGGTTTTGTTGAAAAGTGACCTGCTTTGTGTTCTTGGAAGTATAGGGCAGGGTGGGCAGCTCCAGGTTTATAGGTTGCACCCCTAACCCTTAGGCTGTTTTTGTTAACCCTTTAGTCAAAATCCAGTCATCTTGCTAACTTCACTCGTGAATCAGAATGGTCTCATTATTTGAGCCTCTACTATGAAGTCAAACTAGAGTTGAGGGCCCTAAATGGACAAGAACTGAGAAATTGGCTGAGTTAACTTGAGGAGCTTGAGAGTTGTCCCCTTAGATTGGGAGGAATAAAAAACCTTCAGTCAGGAAAGGGCACTCAAGGCCATAGTTAGAGGATTCTGGCAGAATCCTTTTCCCCAGTATTGTGCATGTAGTTACGGTACACAGAATAACGGAATGGAGGAGTAAGAACACAGAAGAAATTGACACAGGCATCAGAGTCTTGAGGGAAGTTCTATATGGAAACAATTCTGGAGTGAATCAGAATTCTAAGCTCCATTTTTCCCTACTGGGGACTCTGACCTGGAGAACAGGAAGCCAGCCATTGACTTTTGCCCCAGTAAACGTGACAAACAACCATATACCTGATTACCCAATAAATTATTTTCACTAGGTGGGTTTAATTTTAGAAATTACACACTATCATCTAATATTAGCCACAAGACTACCTATAGGGTCAGCTCAGTCTAAACTCACCCATTGGGGTCATTAAGGCTCAAGAAAGAGGGCCATGGCTTCCTCCTCCCAATCAAGAGTTCAGTTCCATGAGTCTTACAGAAAAAACTCAAGGTAATTTCCCTCAAGAACCTACTGAAGAGGAAGGGATTCAGGAAGAAATAAACACAACAGTGCCATTCACTTCATTCACACACTTAGCATATGCAACTTTAATCAACCAAAAGAAAAAGCCCCAACTGTACAAGTGAAAAAAAAAATCCAAAATGTTGACACAGGCTTAACTAATACCAGCTACTTTTATGTACAGCTGTATAATTTCAAAAAAGCTATCCCTATATGTATGTACAAAAGTTGTTTATACACAGGTCTGTACATAAGGGTCTATACATTTATTTCCTCAACCCTTAAGGTGCCAGCCACCTCTTGGTGAAGACACCAACACTTCATTCACATATCTTACAAAAAAAGACTTTCTAGGACTGACAATACTGCATCCTGTATTCAAACCATGTAGGCTCCACTGACTGGTTAAGTTCCTTCCATCATAACGCAGACCACGCCAGATGCCTGGGTGCCCCTAAACAGCTTCACACAAGAGTGCTACAAAGTAAAAGCCGTAAACCAATGTGAGATGAGGAAGCAGAGTCCTGA